TTCAAGGCGAATGATAAAAAGAAAAAACGTGTACAGTATAAGAAGAAACAGAACGAACTAAATAAAATAAAATGTTTTGACTTGCAAGTTTTGTTTTACCCGTTTCGTCTTCCTAGTTTAGTCCATCACAAGAGAAGGTTAAACTATAGAAAAAAGAAAAAGAAATCGTCACATTACAGTTTTAACATCTACTGTGCACACTATAATGTAATAGGAAATTTGTTTTGTTGTATATATATATTTTATAATTTTATTTTATTAATTTCGTATATCTCGCATTTTCGAAGTTCGCAAGTGAAACATGAGTTCACATATAGATCGAGAGATGATCATAAGCAATGTCATTAATCACATAGCTAATGAATGATCACCATCATGATTCCATTCACATATCTCGCATGTTTGAAGTTCACAAGTGAAACATGAGTTCACATACACTGCTTGTAGTAGGAGGAATTCCGGAATTCCTGGTAATTCCAAGAAATCCCGAGTAATTCCTTGCGATTTCGTCCTGAAGGAATTCCGGTTGAAAATTTGTTGTGTTGCTTTAATAATACAAGTAGTCGAATGTTCAGTGCTTGTAGTAGTAAGAATTCCGGAATTGCTAGTGACTCCTAGTAATTCGTACCGTTTCCGTCCTGGAGGAATTCCGGGAATTCCTTTATTAGAGAATTACTGGGAACTGGTTCGTGGGCGGAACTGATTCCGCAATGATCAACATCGCGGAATAGGATGTGTTCTTGAAGTATACTGTGTTTCAGAATAGGAATATGGAACAGTAGAAAACAGGCTACTTGACTATAAAATTGGCTACAAAATAGGGAAACACATTGATATTTCATTTCCGAATTCTGTTGTACTGAAAACAACTGTAATATTGTGCCGTAAGTTACAAATGAGCTATGTGAACAAATTATTTCCGAGTTTACTCAAAGTCATCAACAGGAGATGTTTGACTAAAAATAGAAAAAAAAGAACGTCAATTTTTTTAAAAAAGCCCTGAAGAGACGTGCTTTTCTTTCTCATTCTGTTGATTTTATGATTACATTTCGTAAACGAGGCGCTATTCATCAGAGAATATTTGTAATAAGCAGTGGAACAGGGATGGCAAATGACACTGTTTGATGATCAGGAGGAAGGGAGGGACGCAAAAGTTGCAAGAAAATGGCTGAGTTAGGATACAATTCTTAAGTCTAAGTAATGTGTCGTTATGGAGTTGTATGTAGTTTACATTGACAGTTTCCTTAGATACCGGAATTTGTGCGTTTTCGGGCTCTTTGCAAAAATTGAATATCTCAGCAACGCAACAACTTTATGATCTGCGTTTTTCGCCAAAATCCATGAAACTGTTTGCTCTAAAGAAGCCCTTACTATGGAAAAAATCTGAGATGATCAATTGAGCAACATTGTACGGTAATAGGTCGTGGCTTATCTTTAATGGCTCTTAAGAACACATGGCACATGGGCTATCGGACACACTGACCACTGTGGCAATGTTTGTTTTGTTGTCCGGAGTAAGGAAACTGCAAAAGACCAATTTTTCAGAAAATACGATTTTCCACTGTGACCGTACTAAACGAAAAACCTTATCGCACCTTCATTTCTCAACAAAATTATTTCGGATTTTCAGATAAACTTAGTTTAAAGTGTTTCATCATAGCACACAGAGAAACGTGCAGAAAACTCAATGGTACCTTGCAAGGCTTTCCAGAAGACTTCTGAAGATCTTCAGGGAAAATCTCAGTATGAAAACATGTTTTAACGCTGCTGAACTGTGTAGAAGGGAAAACTAAGTTTGTTTTGAAAATTCGAAATAATTTTGTTGAGAAATGAAGATGCGATAAGGTTTTTAATTTAGTACGGTCATAGTGGAAAAATCATATTTTCTGAAAAATTGGTCTTTTGCAGTTTCCTTACTCCAGATAGCAAAACAAACATTGCCACAGTAATCACTGTGTCCGATAGCCTATGTGTCACATATTTTTAAGGTACTTTGAGCTCAGGTATGGCTGACAGATAGGTCTTCGGAGATTGCCCGTAGTGTACGAACCATGATAGACGGAGCTCTAGGGCCATTGTAAAGATGGGAATCTCTGGTGTATAAGAGGCAAATTTTGAGCCCAGCTCACTATGCAAAGTCTACGAACGGCGAGCTCGGACGTTATCCTTCGAAAGGTGCTCATGGTGGACCTGTTCTGGAATCTTCGTTATTCCATAGATCCGTCTGGCTCGATATCTAGTTTAAGAAACTAAAAACTGGAGGCCTCTAGCTCTTGTCGTTCAAAAGTTATAAGCAAGTAAGCTCATGTCTGTTTAAACAGACATCGGGAATGAACGTGTTAATAGAACTTTGAAATCCGAAAAATCCTTAAAAGGTTTCTTAGAGATCCTTATTTTTATAAGAAACGGAAGCATAATTTAAAAGTCGGACTCTGTCAAGTCCTAGCTATAGATGTTATCTACAAATAAAAGAAGCAATTTTCTTTCTCGAGTGTATCGTTATCAAGAATTTCTGCACTTGCCGAAAGCTTTGAAACTAAAAAACAGTCTTGAGAAAAACGCAAGGTAAGTTTTGACTGAAACTGTTTGAGCATTGAATTTGTTGATACTTTGCAAAAAAGCCATTTGTTTGTTATAAGGGTTCTGTAAAACTCACTCAAAACCTATCCTATCGACAAAAAATTATGCCATTAGAAAGTAGATACTTTGGGCTATCTAACCATGTGCTTTTCTGAAAATCGGCATTTCTGACGCTGGTGGGTGGGTGGAGAGGACCCTTAATCTTTGCCTTCTCTTGAACTTCAGTTTTAGAAACTATGCTAAATTCAATTTATGTCTTGTTTACTTTTAAATGAAATAGAAACATTCGAGATGCATATAAAAAGATTTAATTTATTAAACAGAAGTACGTTGCAAGGGAATATCGAACCTGCTATACAGTGTATGCAGAGAAAATTTACAGAAAGATCTGGTATTGAGATGTATTCTTGATATCTCATACCGCCATTTTGATCTGTATTCTGACTTTGCGTACAAATAAACAATGGTGAGTAACCGACATAGGGCGCCAGTGATTAATAAACATAAAACAGAGTATTCATTATCGTTGTATAAGTAATAGTGACGTAATCTCTCGATTTGTGTATGCCATAAATTATTTGTGACATTGTCATTTTGAATATATTTTTCCATATCAAAGGTGAACAATTGTCGTTGTATATGTCTTGAATAAGATAGATAAATAGCTCCTTTGACAGCATGTGGACCAATTTTTGTTGGATTAAATCGACTAATTAAACATGAAATTAACGCAATTATTGTACCAACTAAATAAGAATCTTCTGTGCGGTTAAAAAGAACTGACACAAGTTGACCGATACCTGAGCATGAAAATGCCATTAGAAGTAAAACAGAATAATATTGATCAAAACTAGCTCTTGGTTGAATTTCAATATACAATAAAGTTAAAAATAATAATGGATGTAAAACAATGTATAGACTACTGACTACTGTTTTTGCTATCCAATATTGTACAGGATGATAGTAGTTACGAGATTCACGAACAAATGTTTGATTTACAATTTCTACGCCAAATAAACGTTGACTAGACACACACGTTGCAGCACCAAAGGCCAAACTAATCATAAAATAGATAGATGGTACACTATCAATGTTACGCGATTGAGTCTCAATATCAAATAATATTCCCACAATTAAACCTAATAACAAATAGGATATTGCATAAACCACTTCTGTATAGCAGTTTCGATAACATAGTTGCTTCATTGTACGATATATTAAATACACAATGGGTTTGAATATCACACTTAAGGTTGGACAAGAGCATAATGATGAAGGTAATGGATTGAGAACAAACTCGTCAGTTATCTCAGCATAATGATTAACATCTCGACACTTGCGAAGAGTATAGATACATTCATCACATGTATTTAATAACAGAACTACATCTGATATATTCGGTCTTGATATATTTTTTAAAAATGTTAAAGCATTTACTCTTTTACCCTGATAAGCTAAATAACATTTTGGAGTAAAAAAGAGAACATGATCAATTTGATCAAATAATTCTTGACCACGTTCGTGAATAACTGTGATGATATTAACAGGACCATCTTGACTATGTTTAATGAGAATTAACCGAGAAAATAGTTTTTCACAAATAAAACTATCAAAACCACTGGTTGGATTGGTTCATCAAGTAATAAAAATTTAGGACATGCAGCTATTTCCATTGCAATATTGACACATTTTCGTTGTCCTAAATAGAAAAACATTATGCATTATCGTATGTAACTATGAAAACATGATTTTACCTCCGGATAGATATTGAATTTGTTCATCTGATTTTTGTTTCATATTTTATTTTTCAAGGATAAAGTGAACATCATGTTTAATCGTCACTGGATTAACATTCAAACGTCTTGCTCGTGCCGAATAATAAACCGTTTCGAATACCGTTAAATCTTGATGTATAATATCATCCTGAGGGACGTAAACAACTAGCTTTGGCAGTCGAGTGTCTGTTTACGGG